AGTTCGTGTAACCCCGTTACACTAGCTCTTTGGCCTTTAGCTGCTGAGGCAGTGTTTGTCAACGACATTGCTACACTATCATCAGTACGATGTATCTCAGATTGCATGTCGTCGTTGATACTTTATCAGTTATTCTTAAACAAGATACTGTTCCAACCACGTAAGGAAGTTGTATTGTAGGCTAGACATCATTTCACTAAGTTTGCTTTTAAACACCAATTTAGACTCTTCTTCTCGGTGTGTAGCTTAGGCTCTGCTATGAACAAAAGAAAAGTTAGATTCTGGGCAATAAAGTTCCTGACCAAATAATTGCTAAAACTGCCGACTTCGTTGCCGTAAAAAAAGCGTCGGGTATAGATGCCACAAGACATGCAAACTGACTACAGTCTTGTCGGTACGATCACAACAACGATACAAACTCGTTGTCTATACTCCTGGCAATCTGGCAAAAATGTTGCTGATGATGTTACCCATGGACACTAACTTTTTAAAAAAATACTGACAAACTCGGCATTATTGTGACATTAATTTAATTATGAAATTACGCCACGAATGTCGAACATGGCCTCACTGAGAGAAAATCTTGTAAAGGCATCCAAAAACCATCACAAACAATACTATTGAACAAATCGTCGTAACTCCACTCTCATATGACCCCACATAATGATAATCAACAGGATGGATACCGTAATAGGGCGAGTGGAAGTAGATTTGAAGTCGCCTAGACTTTTTTTCGCTGCTATGGCGCTCTTCACTGTTAGTGATAAACTTGGCTGGTGTCAAATTACGACTAACGGCCAATTGGTTGGTGACGAGTCCATTGATTGGAGTTTCTCTTAACGCTCTGGTCTTGCTGTCGTCGTGTGAGTTCGCATGCGCATTGTCGGAGACTAACAACGATACCACAATCACACTTAGTACTAGTAGGTGAAGACGCATGTCTGCAGATGATCTGATGGGACGTCAATAATCACGCCTACGAGGGAAATTGGTAGATGGTGGCTATCTGGATTGCGTACAGAATTAAGTTCGACCAGAAAGAGTTGGATCGAGTAAACACATGGATTTTTTAACTCAGCTGGCAGTATCACATAATCCAGGAGACACTTAGGGTTCATTGGCATGAGTGCAAGTCTTTTGATAAGAGAGTGGGAGACCGACCAGATCGTACGTATAAGGCATAGAATTTAGACTATCAGAATGGAAAACATGGTTCAGTCACAGAAAGTTCGCAATTGCCGTCTGTCGTCTGAATCTTTTCATACAATGATATATAATCTGATCCGAAGGGGACCTTAATATCTTAAAAGGAAGATGTGGCGCTTCGAACGTGGGGGACAACAGATAGATGCGTCAAAAAGATTAGGTGAACTGAGATATATAATGGGTGGTTGTACCTCAGAAGTCCGTGCACAGCGGAAAAACATTAAACTTCCGATCTATTTACTTTTGAAAATTTATAATGCTGATTCTCGATTTCTCGTAAGCTTTGCATTTCTAACAAATCCAGCGATGCAACCTCTTCTGCTTCCTTTGGCAGCTGGGTAGGCAAGCACTTTTAGTAGCGAGTCAACATGCCCGAAAGCTTAGAAATATGATTACAGCAACATGATTTCCACAATATTCAGCATTTCTATCCGCCTTCAATCTGCAACAATGTCAACTCCTTGAAGCAAAGAAGGCCGTGCTGCTCCTTAAAGTCATGTGATTAGGATGACGCCAGTCATGGACACCACAATACGAGACAATTTTCAATCACTATGTTGCCTGATAAGCTCCCTCGACCCATATAATTCTACTGTGCTGTATTCCATCACTCCATGGAAGTTATAGCCATGCTTGCCCCGGGCCCAATCCTGTACCAAAACTAAACCTCAGGCATTAATGCGGTGCCATCAATGTCTACATCTTCCCTATTCATGTGATATCGATCTACTATGTATGTATAAATATTAGTTCAACTATAGTGGAGTCATCTCAAACATGTAGGTAAGGAATCGATCCCAGGACTGCGGCAGTCTTTAGAAAAACTATACATAATTTTTTGATAAATAAATAAGATGTGGCGTTAAGCAAGCGTAGTGCTTGTAATCAAATATCACGCATAGTAAGGACACCATTGTATGAGTCCTGTAGAAAGGTGTGTTCAAAGCAAATATTCTCTACCTTTCAACCCCTAAGCAGAGTAAAAGGACATCCCTTTCATGGTCGCACATCATAAAAAATACGCTTTAAAATGTGAGTCTCTGCCTGTGGCTGTAAAGCAGATTACTACTTGCGCTTGGCCTTAAGTTTGTCAAAAGCCAATGTTACTCGACACTGGAAATATCGGCGTTCAAATCGACTCATGCTGAATCTGCAAATAACATCAATTGTAAACATCCTGCTCCACGGCAGAGCAGGTATGTATCGAAACCTTTGGCGGCATTTGAGAATCGCTGAGAGGACGTCCGTCTTTCATTTAGATTTTGTATTTGGCGTACGCTGGTAATAGCAAAGTAACAGCTACCAGCATAAAGTTTAACTAATATCATCAAGTCGTAGCAAAATGGACTCATTATAACATTACACCCATAATTCTCAGTTATAGACGTTGTTATATGGAATGAAATCAACAGAAAAGCCGAGGCATGATACTGTATATCGAGAAGATTCACCAGCCTTCGTTGTGGTATGCAATACCACGTATAGCGTTTTAGCTCTTAAACTTAAAGAATTGTCAAAAATTACAGTCTCGCATCCAATCAACTAAATAGAAAGTTTTGAGCAGAAGAAACGCTATAGCTCTATCTTGCGCTAGCTGCAAACTAATAGGCATCAAGAAACTGGGTACTGACATTACCATTTACACCCATACCTATGTATAGAGCCATATCGCCAGCTCTCTTACCTCTATCGAAGTATGGAAAACAGTTAGCTCCGCTCCTACCTAATATTCTATACAACGACGGGGCTACTTGTTTTAAATCACTTGTGAGTCTTTTCCACATACAAAAGCATGCTTCTTAATAATTTTATTGTAAATAGCTTACCTTTATATCCAGTACATTGAGATCTTGCACTTAGCATTCGTTGTCTGAGCTGCAAATATTGGCCAAAAAGTTGAGTATTTACCTATTACTGTGACATTGACCATCAAGCCAGAAGGTATCACAAATTTGAGAAAGTACATATCTGATCCAGGTATTCTTGGAGAAGGAAGATCATTTTAAAGTTAAATGCACAGTATCAGCACTAGTGTTTTCTATCAATGTATAATTGCTATCGATAGAAACCAAAGGGAAATCTAGGGTCAACGCTCGGTAGGTGCCATTGCACGTTACCCAACAATACAGATGGTTGAATTCAGACCAAATAATAAAAATATGACATGAAAGAGCCATTTGCTGTGCAAAAGCTTTTTCCGTCGTGTGCTATTACCATCGTATCAATTGTAGTTGTTTTGGTGTTTAGCACAAATCATCTACATCGATGAGTTTTTAAGCTTCTTCTGGGCTTATTTCAGGTAGATAAGCTCGTCTGTATTAGCGATACCTCTTGAGAAGAATTCTCTAGGGAAGCAATCCAGACCTATTTTTTTGTACGGTACCATCAGAATTTTCGACTATTTCTGATGAATTGATCAGGTTCAACTCTTCTCCGTATCAATGAAGGACTAGCGAATACGATGTTTTCAGTCGCCAATTACCTCTCATCAGCTCAGCTGCTCATCGTCTTTTCCGTATTTTTTCACCATGAAAACTTTCTCGCTATTTATAGTTCTTACTATTCTGGGAGCCAGCAATGCGCTCGAAGATTCCAATGACGATCGCAAACCCAAAGCACTAAGAGATATCTCCCCTACTTCCGTAATCCCCAGTGAGCCGCGCGTAGCTCAAACTTCGCTTACTTTCGAGCCCGAGCAAAGCGAAAAAGAGTTAAACAGTCATCGAGATGGCAAAGGGCTTCGACTGAAAACTAAGGGTGAAGCTGATGATAACAACGAGAGCCGGTCGCTGGATGAATGGATTGGAGTTATCCAATTTTCAGTCCTCTTTCTAATCTTCGGGGTTTTAGTATTTAGTATCTGTATTGTCTAATCGTTATGTAGCATTCATATATATGATTAGTAGATTTATAAGGAAATAAACAACTCAGTTTTTCAAGATGGCGTAAGCTTACCAGGTGTATTTAATACTTGACCACTCATGCGAGGTTTCAATGATGTGTGGTAGCGAAGTTTGTGGTGACCAAGTTCCCCCCAAAACTCTGTCGGCGCCGAGCGCATTGTACTGAGCTTTGATACACAGCTGACTCAAGATAAAATTCTGTCTGAATATCCTAGCTTCGTTACAAATTTATTGAAACTATTTTCAATTAGTGATTATAGCACTCTATGATTTCATTTGGGCTTGTCATGCTCTCAAATGCAGGACTATCAATCTCAGGTTTAAAATTATCTGTTTTAACATCACATGCATACTTCCATAATCTCACACGATGTGAATGCCATAGTGAACTACAACTGAGCACATAGTTGAACATTTGCTCTATTGACAAACTGAACAAAGTCGCAAATTTTGATCTCAATTCCTTTTTATCGTGTCCAAAGCTCACACTAAGAGGGCGACAAAGGACTTAGACCAATGTCGTTATGGCAGATAGTGATTTTATTAATAAGCAAATGGAAACAATGAGCATGGACACAATGTAGAACATTGTAAATGAAGAAACGGGATACAAAAAAAATCTTTTGATTGAATTCTTTCTCAAAGAATACATGCAAGAAGCATCATGAAAAATAAAGCGGCGAAGAGAGATCCGACAATCACCCCTATTGTGCCACGCTCTTCTTCGTTGGAACGGATTGAATACATGTTGCCACGGCGGTCGTCTTCACTGGTATTTCCAGTTCGAGAGACGTTCTTTTCTAGTCCAATCGGGCTCACAATGGGCTTCGACTTATTGAATAGCGATGTGTCCGTGTCCGTCTGAGTCTGCACCACGTCAGATGCAGATGAATCGTCAGTGTCTGCTTCGTAGATCGAGGATTGCTCAATATCTTCGGTCTTCGCATCGTGGTCGAAATGACTGAGCGTAATACCGGACGGCATCAAAGTGAATACAATCACACTCACGAAGAAAAGTTGGAGATGCATTGCAAGAGGAAGAGTTGGTTGTGATATGAACGGAAAGTTGGAAACTAAGGATAACTGTAGATCGTTTTGCTTCGCACTGATGGGTTGTGAAAGTGACTTTGATGCACCCAAACAGCTGTTCAACTACATGAACATTTTGCAAATGCAGTTACTTTGTATGATATCAGCAAAACATCCGGCTATACAATGGCTATCACCATTGAAAGCAATGACTGTGATGCCAATCACGTAGAGCATATAAAATTAGGAAGAAGATGAATCAAATCACGTTAGGCAAATCTTAAATTCGACAGTTGATTGCCTGGTGCAATAGGCGAGATGATTGCCGGTGAAATAGGCGAGATAATTGGCCGGTGAAGTAAGCACACAAACACAACACTGATGTCTATTGAAGAAGATAATTAAGCTTGAATTCTAACTGGCTTTCTTTAGCTTCATTAGAATCAGAAATCCGGCTTTAAGAAATACTTGCGTATGTACCATCTCAGCTGCCCTGGTGCAGAAATGGAGACCTCGAAAATGATCTCCTCGCAGCCACACAATCGTTGTAAATGCTGGATAACGATTATCGCAGCCAAACTATGCGCCAGCAATACTTCCCATCGTCTTCAGTGATTGGCAACGCGACAAAGCAGAGATTGGAGCTTCGAAGGAACTCTCGACTAGAAATTCTATAGCTTGCAATTCGTCTGCACCTCACACTAAACGGGTCAGGATAATTTAGGTTTTCTGATTGTAGCAATTTGAGACATTTAGCAATTTGCAATCATTAAGTCTGCCTTAGGGTGCGCATTCGTTATGATGGTTTTGGTCTGAAGTACTTAAATAAGGCCAATCCTCTTAAAACTGAAGATTAGTTCGACAGAGCGAACATAAATTTGTCAAAAAATACCACAAACAAGCATATCTAGTCATATATGTTGACAGTTGATGCTTCACTTTGGATTGCTGTTAAGTTTGTTATTGCTTTTGAGCTGCGTTTTAGATCTTTTTAAATTCAGTTATGGAGCGTTTATAGTTTACCGCTCCATGTACTACAACGGTCACTGCTCCTCCGTTTATACTCGTTTTCTAGAACGATAAGTTCAATGTTTGCTGTTTAATCAAGGAATGAAATACTTGCATAAGTCGGTCGTTGTTTTCCAGGCATTTGGATCTGTGTGTAGGGCCGCAGGTTGGTGTAGAATAAGTAATAATTGAGAACGGCTAAGGAAATAGTATAATATGCTCGCAGCTACGACTTTGCGATACTGTGAAAGCCTCAAGATAAATTAATGAATAAATAGAGCCTGCGTTATCATTTTGGTGATTTTCGCAGATCATTCATTTCCAGAGTAAATTCACCACTGGATGGTATCGTTGCGCTATTATCCGCTTCGAGTAAGCGTTTTGTCATTCGACCCTACCATTCGGTGTAGTTTGATCCGATGCGATATAGTACAAGCAACAAGGAATTAAGTTGTAAAATTATAGTGGTTGAAAGTAAATTCTAAATTGCGTCGATGAGAGAAAGCAATGAGTCACCTTGCTTTAGATCGGCAGTACAAATTGTCAACGTCGGGATATTTGCACCACAATAGCTTCTCAGCATGACAACAGGTCTAAGCTAACTTAAGATACAGCGAAGAAGACCTAAGAGGATGCAGATCAGCCGTCATCCAAATAGCCACTTAGCTCTTATCTCTATGGGAAATAGAACAAACAGCTCTGTCACTAGCTCAATCAAGTCAACACGCTATGATGTCAACGAATTAATCGATAAAACTTAGAGCATTGAGGCTAAACAAAAGACTCACAGATTCAAAAAAATATATTATATAGAATAATGATCTTGATACAGCACGTTTCGCTCCACAAGGATGAGATGTCACATCATCCTAATTTTCGTAATAACCTTACTGTCAATAGCATGTGTTGCGACTTTAGGGCCTACTCAAGCTAATACGACCTCTTATCACATCGTCGCGATTCGCGGCATCATCAAAATATTGATACCTACCCATTTGGCCAATTGAAAGTATATGGATTTTAATAACGTCTGCTAGAGATTGTTCTCACTCAATTGAATATCTCCACTCGGATGATTCTCAAAGCATCTTCACCTTTTGCTTTGTCCTAATCGAAAGCGTTTCCATTTCGATGCGTATCGCTGGAGAAACATTATTTTCATTCAGTTGCATCGTGGGTCATAAAGACCTCACTAACATTTCAAGTATAAATGTCACCATCAATACGCCCATGTGGTTTCTCCCTTGTATTCCTCCACTTGACTTGGGTTTGTGAGCGATATCCCAAGCTCATGTTATCCGAGTAGAGCTTGTCTTTCAAGACTACTCCTCGACCGTTGCACTGGGTTACCCCAAACATCCTCAACCTTAAAACTCTTGCCCTTTCTTATTCTTGCTTTTTCAGTTGTTGTTCGGTCAATCCCTGGCCTGTCGACATGTTTTCATTTGCCCCCCTGTACTCGGAATATTTATCCATATCAAGTGAGGATTTCTTCTTTAATGAGCTCTAGTTTTGAACATCAAGACCACCTAAAGCAAAGCATAATACCGTATAGATCACCAAAATCGAAAGGATGAGAGAATAATGATCCAGTGTGTAGTAGCTGGATCAAGGGTGCAGCAGTGGTGTGTGATGTGTAGATGTCAAATACCTCACTTTTCGATGCATATGATGGGGGCAGATAAGAAAGTTAAATGTTTTTGTCGATATTGCTCGAAAATAAACGGAGGTAGATGGTGATATGCAAACCGATACTCCGATCAATTCTAACCAATTGTTCAAACATCAGCACTACATCCAGAATTGGAGTTAACTATATCAAGGGTGCAAATGCAAGCGCCAGTTGAATAGATATAGGAAATACGGTGCAAGAAAGATTTGGGCTTGAACATGACGATAGACGTGATGAAAAGCATTTCACATTTTCAAGTTGAAATGTGGGAGACAAGACTAGTTGCTTTAAGGTTATTCTGGTGGACTATTAGGATGCAGCGTGATAACTTCGAGTAGGTAGTACAGTTTTAGAGACTGTTTGACAGGGGGCACGTGCTGCTCACCGAGAAAGACATGCAAACCAAGGTATCAGTCGGTAATAGAAATGGCAAATGATGAACCGAAAAGCATCAATTATGATACGGAGCATGGTAGATTGATATTGAATCTCTTAGGTGATGTGGCGGAAAACGCAGTCTACATTTTGAACCGTATCGACTAGAGCCAACTTAGGGTACAGGTCTCACATGCAGATGTGGGAAAGTAATGATCTATCTATATATCGTGCAATCTTAGTGGTATCGGTTACAGTGAGAAAGAACCAGGAAGTTTTCAAACCCCGTAAGGATTCCTGATCAACAATGCTGCGTTTCTTGCAAAGAATGCACAGGTTGGGTTGGGAGTCGGTATGTCATTTTTGATGACCTCTATCTCATCAGGGACACTTTACCTTCCAAGGATTCATGACGTTGTCTACAATACTTGTACCTTGGGAGCTTGTAAAAGCATATGCATGTATAAGCTGTTGTAAGCGGTAATCAAAGTGTGGTGGATACTCGGAGTTCATTCGAAAATTTATGCAAAAGCTTCTTCTGATGCAGTGAATGCTCATACATTTACTATATAGTGGACTCATTGTTTTTGAAACGCTTCTGACACCCGCGGGGTCTCAGTTCTGGCAGGAGAGATGTCGTGCGGAGTGCGCACCCTTCCTACACAGTACGCTGAAACGCCACAGTGCTGAAACGAGTTGCCCCCGCTCATTCGCTTTGTATATAGAACTCAGTGTATGCCTTTTCAGGATCCACCCCATCGCATAATATCGAATCTGTATGAAGGGTGTGGGTCACACAAGATGGTGTTATCACATAATGTGTTGCTACACTTGTATGTGACTGGAACGGCCACATTTAATTAGGTATATTTAGGAAAACCTATAGATTAAGATATAGGCGGCTTTATCGCAGATGTACAGAGAAATTCAGTTTACACCTAAAAAGGAAGCGTTAATTAGCCTTGGATTAAGGTTATAGTTTTTCTTGGAGTAAGCAGATTGCGATCCGCCACACTCGTACTGGTTCTAAGTATAAAACGAAGGTCGCCGACCTTAATTAAGCTTTCTCTAAGCGAATGAGCTTCGGCGGCCCCACTGCACTTGAAAGCATTTGTAGTCATTCTACACCTGAGTCGTTACGACTGACCCTCTGTGAGGATGGAGCAGTTTCCTAATTGCCCAGGGCGTGCAGGACGGGCTTAAAAAGCTGACGTCTCTGCTTGACCCTAAGGGCGTGCAACACCATGCTTTGGAAGGATCTGAAGCGATCAGCGCGCGTCTAGATTATGCAAATACTCTGCTACAGCACCTCCAGCAGAAGATGTTGGCGTCGACTGCGTCCATGACGCCAGCGTTGGTGACGGATAACTCCTTGACACAAACCGTTTATGATGAGTGTTACGACTTCGAGGGTAAGGAAAGAGAAAATCTCCAGCTTTGGGTGAAAAAGGTCAAGATGGTCATTGCGGTTGCCATTCTCCAGACCGAGCAACAGCGCGTGGTCTAGCTATCTCCACGCTCGGAGGTCGAGCGCGAGAATACACACTGCCGCGTGGCACTTTGGTCGAAGCGGTGTTTCCCTTCTGGACAGAGCCGAAGCTGAAGCTTTCATGAGTGTTCTCGCTACCTAACATATATATCGCTTGCGATCGCGTTTCCTTGCAGCGTGACAGGGCAAGGAGAAATTGGTGGGCTCTGTGCAAGCGTTGTGTACTCTCATTGCTGGTATTGCAGTTAATCCTCTTCCGGCGGCGGTCACAGTGACCGTCTCTATCAAAGGCCTCCGTACTGGCGTGGCCAGAATAAAAGTCTTCCGTGTGCACCCGTCTTCTTTTGAAGAAGCGGTCGGCACGACTTTGTTGGAATGCACACTTTAGTAGCTCCTTAGGCGGGCCTGAGCCGATGGATTTCAGCCTTGCTGAGAACGAGGAGACAGAGCTCCGAG